CCTCCACACCGACACCGATACCGACTCCGTCTCTGCCGCCACCCGCGGCTCTTCCCGCTGCCACCATGTATGACGCGGACGAAGGTGAGGGCGCTGCGGCTGCAGGCCGCTCCCTGCTGGGCCTGCTCTCCGGTTCAGCGTGGCGACGGGGGGAGCAGGGCCCGCAGAAGGCGGAGAGGGGGGTGAGAGGGATGCGGTTGGGCATGGGATTGGGATAGGGTTGGGATGGGGAGCGCTCTGGGTGCGGCGGGGTCTCCCACAGGCGTCTGAGGCCCTTGGGCGGCTAGGTGGAGTGCTGGAGGGTCCCTCAGCTCGGCGTGTGCCGGCCCTGTTCAGCAGGTGAGGAGAGACACCGAGGTGGCTAGAGCGGGGCTTACGTGTTGTGCTTCCCCGACAGATATGCAATATGATGAAGATGATGATGAAATCACCCCCGACTTGTGGCAAGAAGCCTGCTGGATCGTTATTAGGTGACTTGGCTAAAGCTTAACTCTTTTTAATGCTTCAGCGTATGTGCTTTTGGTCTTACAGGTGACACAGAATCACAGAATGGTTTGGGTTGGAAAGGACCCTTAAGATCACCTAGTTGTAAGTCCCCTGCTATGGGCAGGGACACCTTCCACTAGCCCAGGTTGCTCAAAGCCCCGTCCAACCTGGCCTTGAACACTGCCAGGGAGGGGGCAGCCACAGCTTCTCTGGGCAACCTGTTCTAGTGTCACACCACCCTCATAGCGAAGAATTTCTTCCTTATATCTAACCTAAATCTATTGTCTTTTAGTTTAAAACTGTTACCCCTTGTCCTATCTCTACACTCGTTGATAAAGAGTCCCTCCCCATCTTTCCTGTAGGCCCCCTTTAAGTACAGAAAGACTGCTATAAGGTCTCCCTGGATCCTTCTTTTCTCCAGGCTGAACAACCCCAACTCTCAGCCTGTCCTCACAGGGGAGGTGCTCCAGCCTTCTGATATCTTTGTGGCCTCCTCTGGACCCACTTGAGCAGGTCTGTGTCCTCCTTATGTTGGGGGCCCCAGAGCTGGACACAGCACTGCAGGTGAGGTCTCACAAGATAGATTAGAGGGGGAGAGTCCCTTCCCCCAGCCTGCTGGCCACACTTCTCTTGATACAGCCCAGGATTTGGTTGGCTTTTTGGGCTGTAAGTGCACATTGCTGGTTCATAGTCAGTTTTCCATCCACCAATACCCCCAAGTCCTTCTCCACAGGGTGCTCTCAATCCACTCATTGCCCAGCCTGTATCTGTGCTTGGGATTTCCCTGACCCATGTGCCAAGAGAACTTGCCCTTGTTGAATTTCATGATGTTCATGGTCCCACCTCTCAAGCCTGTCCAGGTCCCTGTGGATGGCACATCCCTTCCCTCCAGTGTGTTGACTGCACCACACAGCTTGGTGTTGTTGGCAGCTTGCTTAGGGTGCACTCGATCCCACTGTCCGTGGGGCCAACAAAGATGTTAAACAGCATCTGTCTCGACACCGACCCCTGAGGAATGCCACTCATCACTGCTCTACACTTGGACATTGAGCTGTTGACCTCAACTCTGAGTGTGACTATTCAGCCAATTCCTTATCCACTCCACCTATCACATCCATGTTTCTCCATTTTAGACGAGGGTGTTGTGCAGGACAGTGTCAGATGCTTTGCACGAGTCCAGGCAGATGGTGTCAGCTGCTCTTCCCTTATCCACCCATCATAGCTGGCCACCAAATTTGTCAGACATGATTTGCCCTTAGCATAGCCATGTTGGCTGTCACTTGTCACCTCCTTATTTTCCATGTGCCCTAGCATAGTTTCCAGGAGGATCCACTCCATGATCTTCCCAGGTACAGAGATGAGACTGGCCTGTAATGCCCAGGTCTTCCTTTTTTCACTTTTTAAAAATAGGGGTTATGTTTCTCCTTTTCCAATCAGTGGGAACTTTGCTAGACTGACACTATTTCTCAAATACAATGGATAGTGGCTTAGACACTTCATCTGCCAGTTCCCTCAGGACCCGTGGATGCATCTCATCAGGTCCCATGGACTTGTGCACCTTCAGGTTCCTTGGATGGTCTTGAACCTGGTCTTCTCCTACAGTGGGTGGTTCTTCATTTTCCCAGAAGGTCCCTTCCAACCCCAACCGTTCTGTGATACATGTTGCTCTTTCCATTCCTCCTTCCCCTTATGAAGTAGTAGACTGTGCTGAGAAGATTTCACTGTGGCAACGGCACAGTAGCCAAGGATGTGTTGCCCTTCTTGGGGGAGCCTGAGGTTATTGGTAGGGAAGTAGTGTTGGAGAACGGCTTGCAGAGAGCAAGGCCATAGCTCCCTGCAGAAGTCGGTCCCAGCCACCTGAGGTAAACAAAAGAAAGAACCCAGGGTACAGTTATGTAAACAAAGATGAAGACCCAAGGCTCAGTTGTGCTAGTGAGGATTGTTGTGAGAACACAGAGATAAGTTGGGGCGCACTACGACCTTGGGGTGAGAAGAGAAGCAGCCCTGGGAGAGAAGCAGGTTTACAGCAAGAAAGATGTTTATGCATACCAGAAATGCCACAAGGGGCTGGTGTATTATAATGTGATCTTTTGAATGTACCCAATGGCTGAGACATTATAATGTAGTTTCTTGAATGTATCCAATAGAGTTGCAAGTAGTGTATTGTAGACTGCTTATATAAGGTGTGATTTCTTTCAGTAAAGTTGAAGCTTGCTCTATCATTCACATTGAATCGGCTGCTTGCTTCCTCCGCCCTCCGCAAAGTAGTGCTTACCAGTTTTCTCTAGAGATCTTGGTGGTGATGGGACAGTAGCTGAGGTGGTGTAGGTTCCCTGGCTGGCTTCAGGACTGTGAGGTAGAGGAGCTTGCTGGCAGGGGCTAATGCAGCGGACATGTTTAGATCATGCAATTAAAAGTTAGGATGTGGGGCTTTGAATTTAAGCTTTTGACTTTTACAGTTAGGTTGTGCTGGGTTGAAACAAGGTGATACAAAGTCTAAAAGATGACAGAGAATGGGAGAACGACTTCCCCTGCATTCCAGGAGGAGATAGTGACCTACTGCATCACATAGACATACATGAGTCTATGGGACCAGACGGGATACACCCGAGGGTGCTGAAAGAGGTGGCTGGGGTGCTTGCCAAGCTGCTTTCCATCATTTACCAGCAGTCCTAGCTGACCAGGGAGGTCCAGAAATTGGCCAGTGTGACTCTTAGATGTAAGAAGGGTCAGAAGGATGATCCAGGAATTTACAGACCTGTCAGCTTGACTTTGGTGCCTGGGAAGCTGATGGAGCAGCTCATCCTGAGTACTATCATACAACACATGCAGGACAACCAAATGGTCAGGCCCAGTCAGCATGGGTTTATGAAAGGCAGGTCCTGCCTGACAAACCTGATCTCCTTCTATGACAGGTCAACCAGCTTACTGGATGAGGGAAAGGCTGTGGATGTAATTTACCTTGACTTCAGTAAGGCCTTTGACACAGTTTCCCACAGCATTCTCCTGGTGAAACTGTCTGCTCGAGACTTGGATGGGCACAGGCTTTGCTGGGTAAAAAACTGGATGGCCAGGCCTAAAGAGTTGTAGTGAATGGAGTTAAAGCCATTTGGCGGGTGGTCACGAGTGGTGTTCCCCAGGGCTCGGTGTTGGGGCCACTCCTGTTTAACATCTTTATTGATGATCTAGACGAGGGGATCGAGTGCACCCTCAGTCAGTTTGCAGATGACACCCAGTTGGGTGGGAGTGTTGATCTGCTCGAGGGCAGGGAGGCTCTGCAGAGAGACCTGGACAGGCTGGAGCCATGGGCTGAGGCCAACTGGAGGAGTTTCAATAAGGCCAAATGCCGGGGGCTGCCCTTGGGCCACAACAACCCCCAGCAGCGCTGCAGGCTTGGGGAGGAGTGGCTGGAGAGCTGCCAGTCAGAGAGGGACCTGGGGGTGTTGATTGACAGCCTGATGAACAGGAGCCAGCAGTGTGCCCAGGTGGCCAAGAAGGCCAACGGCATCCTGGCTTGTGTCAGCAATAGTGTGGCCAGCAGGGACAGGGAAGGGATCTTACCCCTGTACTCGGCACTGGTGAGGCCGCCCCTTGATTCCTGTGTTCAGTTTTGGGCCCCTCACTACAAAAAGGACATTGAATGACTCGAGCGTGTCCAGAGAAGGGCAACGAAGCTGGTGCAGTCTCTGGAGCACAGGTCGTCCGAGGACCGGCTGAGGGAACTGGGGGTGTTTAGTCTGGAGAAGAGGAGGCTGAGGGGAGACCTCATCGCCCTCTACAGCTACCTGAAAGGAGGTTGCAAAGCGCTGGGGATGAGTTTCTTTAACCAAGTAATAAGTGATAGAACAAGAGGGAATGGCATCAAGTTGCATCAGGGAAGGTTTAGACTAGATAATAGGAAGCATTTCTTTCCAGAAGGGGTTGTTAGGAGTTGGAATGGGCTGCCCAGGGAGGTGGTGGAGTCCCCATCCCTGGAGGTGTTCAAGAGTAGAGTTGACATAGTGCTTAGGGATGTGGTGTAGTTGGGAACTGTCAGTGTTAGGTTGGTAATTGTTGGATTGGATGATCTTCAAGGTCTTTTCCAACCTAGACGATTCTGTGATTCCGTGGAAATTTGCAGTGGTGAAGCTGGTAATCTCTGTGGCTGGAACAGAGGCGATCCAAGCAAAGAAGTGTGCTCAGAACTTTTACTTTGACTTAGGGGCATGCACTCAGTTTACTGCAGCTTGAACAATTAGTTAAAGAAATGTAATTCACCTATATTGTTGAAAACTTAAGCTGAAGCCACTTTTACTAGGGTTTATCATTGCATTTCCCTTCTAATTTAAGGTAGGCTGTGTGTACAGTCATGGCTTAACCAAGGCAGCAAGTCTGTCACTTTGTAGTGTCTGTGTCTTCAAGCAGGGAGAGAGTTGTTAAACATTTTTGAATGTCTGTGTTTGAAACTCATGCCTCAGGAAAAGT